AGAGCCAGCGGGGTGAGGCGAGGTCAGAGGCTGCCATTGGCTCCCGCTCCCATGCCTCGCCCCCTCCCGCCTCCGGCTGCCCGGCAACGAGGGGACGAAGCTTCCGGGGCGGGGCCTCCCCGGCTACAAAAGGCCCCGGATGCCAAGCCTCGCTCGGAACTTTCCAGAAAAGTCGGGAGACAGGGGGAGCCGCTAGAGCCAGAGCCAGCGCCGCCAGCCAGCCAGGTAGGGTGCTGCTGCCGCCGCCCCGGGGTGGGGGTTGGGGGGTGGGGGGTGCTGCCTTGGGGCTTATGCGGCGCTGCCGCCCCTTTGACCCCGGGGGCGCTGGGGCAGGGGTGGCGCGGGAGGTGCCGCGCGGCTGACGGAGGCGGCTCGCGCAGGTCGCCGTTCACGATGGTGAAAGAAACGACATACTACGATGTGCTCGGAGTGAAGCCCAGCGCGTCCCAGGAGGAGCTGAAGAAGGCCTACCGCAAGCTGGCGCTGAAGTACCACCCCGACAAAAACCCCAACGAGGGCGAGAAGGTAGCGGCGTGGGGGAGGACTGGGAGCCTGACCTCGCCTCGTCTCTCTTCCCCCTTTATCCTTATGAGAGCAGCCTGCGGGGCTTCCCTGTGGGCGCTCTTGCTTCTTTCCCTGACCCAGGAATGCAGCAGAAGCACCAGGCCTCTTTCCAGCTTGGGTTTCTGGTCGTGGCTGTGCCTGAACACGGCAGGAACAAGGGTGGGGAAAGTTCCCCTGTAAGGCTGGCTTGGTTGAAGTTCATTCACCAGCTCCAGATGGGCTGCTGCTTTCCAGCTAATAGTAATTGATGTTAGAGGGATGGGGTGGGGTCTTGTCATCTCCTGGTGGATTTAGTTCATGTGCTGGTTTGTGTTGCAGTTCAAACAGATTTCTCAAGCATATGAAGTTCTTTCTGATCCCAAGAAGAGAGACTTGTATGACAAAGGAGGTGAACAGGCCATTAAAGAGGGTGGTTCTGGTTGTAGCTTTGGATCCCCCATGGATATATTTGACATGTTCTTTGGAGGAGGTGGAAGAATGCAAAGAGAGAGGCGAGGTATGTGACTTTTTTGTCATGTTGGGTACACTAGCAGTCAAGCATATACCAGACCCTCCCTGAATACTGTTGAGAGAGATCATGCTTGCTTCTGTTAAAGTTCAAGAAAAGATGAAGACAGAGTGGCTATACTTTTTTATATAAACTAAACAAGTGTTTGCTTTCCTATGCTGGTGTTTGAAAACAAGAAAATTATCACAGTAATCTAAATCTTATTTTCTAAATGTAATGTGTAGTGAGTTATATTAACTTTGTATGACTACTAATAGGTAGGTCACAAGATGTCAGTGGTGTCATTGTCTAAAACTTTGAGGTTTGGAGATTAAGCTAACTGCATGTGCCAAACTTCTAAGAACATAAGAAATAATTTTCTGGGTCAGAATGGGTCTGTCTAAGGCAGTGGTTCTCAACCTTCAGCTTGGGTGGTAGGGCATGTCTCACAGCTCATGGGGCTCCTTAGAGGCCTGAAAACCTTGTGGGGAGGGAGGGGAAACATTAATTGCTGCTGCTCTGGATTAAGTTACGGCACTTTAATACTGCCACAGCTCCTATACTACCAACTTCTAGCCTAAACCTGTGGTGAGCCCTGCAGGTTGGGTGACATGTCCCCATGCACTAAATCTAGTGTGTGGGGCTGGGCTGGCACAACTGCAGTCTTGCAGCTCCTCCCCTGGGTCTTGGTCTCTGGAGGCAGCAGAGGATACTGGCCAAAGGGATGGTGGGGCAAGTTCCCTCCCTCCCCTCCTACCCCCCAGCCTGCTTGCTCTGTCCCTGTGCCTTGACCCCTGTCATTCCTGATGGGCAGTTGGCTTGTGTTAAAGTATTTCCCTCTAGTAAATGTGCTGTGTTCTGAAGAATTAGGTTTTGGTCGATTTTTCAGTTGAGAAATAAGAGAACAAAATCTGATTAGCATGGAATTACAAAGTCTAGAATAATGAGTGTGTTCTTTACAGGCAAAAATGTTGTTCATCAGTTATCAGTAAGTTTAGAAGACTTGTACAATGGGGCAACAAGAAAACTGGCTCTGCAAAAGAATGTGATTTGTGACAAATGTGAAGGTAAGTTTTCTGTACTACAGTCTAGAACTCTAGGTAACTTGCTAACTGAATTCCACTAACTCTTTTCTGTTTATTTTTACAAAAAAATTTGTTCAGGTGAAAGCAGTTTTCAATAAACTAAATAAATGTACTTCTGATGTTTTATTTGGATTTTATTTTAGTTGTCAATTAAATCTTTCATTCTGCTGTCTTGTTACCAGGTCGAGGTGGTAAGAAAGGTGCAGTGGAATGCTGTCCCAACTGCAGAGGTACAGGCATGCAAATAAGAATTCACCAGATAGGACCGGGAATGGTTCAGCAAATCCAGTCGGTTTGTATGGAGTGTCAGGGCCATGGGGAGCGTATCAGTCCAAAGGACAGGTGTAAAAGTTGCACTGGAAGGAAGATTGTTCGGGAGAAGAAGATTTTAGAAGTTCATATTGATAAGGGTAGGTCTTTTGAATATACACTTTTTAATTAACCTTGCACAACTGATGCAAGTTGAAATTCATTAAAGCTTCAAACATGTCTTTCAAAGTACCCAGTGTTGGCATTAATCTATTGCACAGCAATAATGTGGTATGCAGCTTTGCTGTTGAGACTGCAGAACCTGTTTACTGCTCTAAAGTGTAGGTCATGGCTTTGAATAAGCAAACTTGATGGCTAGTGTATATTAATTTGCACTGACTTGTACATGGGCATTAATTTGACAACCTGTAATGTTACTATTTTATGTATCAACTCTGCTAAACAAGCAAATGTCAGGTTCAGGAAAAATTGACACTCATAAGAACAGGCTGGTGTGTCAATGCTGACTTGGTTACTTAGCCATTAAACAGACCATTCTTTGCTTTGTTTTTCTGATCTAACCTGTTTGTTCAGAGGTTGGCTATCTAGTCCTTGGGACTGCAGATCCCGATCACTTCTGCTGTGTTTCAGTGTGAAGAGGAACCAGGTCTGCTACAGTAATGGGGTGTAAAAGCAGTCCTAAGCCCACTGTGCTTAGAACTCAATTTGTTAAGCCACCCTGACATACATGCTCCAGGTCCTACACTGACCTCCTATACTACTTGAACAGTATCTGGCAAATGCATAATGAATTTCAGGCATTTATAAGCAGCTGTTATGTGGTAGGGGAAATAATACTATATTGAATAACAGATGCAAAAAAAGCTTTTATTTCTGAAGAGATGACCAAAGATGGTGCAACTGTGCAAGAACTTTGGGCTGTCGGATACTTTAATGAGTTTGACAAACACTGTGCACCAGTAACTGGTCGAAACAACATCTTGCCCTTATCAGTAGCTGCCTGCTATGTTTCTGTTTAATCTTTATAAAGTACTTTTTAAGGCAGGAAAAATAGTAACCCTATTATGAGGGTTTAGTGTAATGGCTCTAGGGCAGGGGTTATTAACTGGGGGTATGCATACCCTTGGTGGTACATGCAGGTAAGTGGGGACAGTGCTGCCACCCACCACCCTGTGCTGCTGCCTCCTGGGTGGGGGGGCAGCTGTGCCCCTCCATGAGCTGCACAGGTGCTGGCCAGATGTGGGGAGGGGGTGAAGCTTGCATGTGGCAGCTGCCATTGCTCTGCACCCAGCTGTGTGCCCCCACCCTCCCTGCTCCTTGTCCAGCTGCCAGGGGTACACTTATTAGAAAAAGGTTTTAAAACCCCTGTTCTAGGGTTCACTAACTGACCATGGGCTGTTTTTGGCTCAACTTTTAGTTGGAGAATATGCTACCCATTTTTAAAAAAACTGAAAAGAACTAGAATGTATAGGTGATGGAAAAAAATGAGGATGTTCCTCATGGCATGACTGATTTGGGGTGATGTAATGGCTGCCTTTTTATATAGAGGGAAGTGCTTAATAGTCATGGGGTGGGGGTGGGAAATGGCCTGGGCCTGAGTGTTGGGGTAGGGAAGTGGTTTGACCCTGAGGCCCTCATCTGGACATGCAGGGATGGTGGTGGGGCACTTGGAGCAGCCAGGCTGCTCTGGATGGGTTGGGGGTAGATTCTGGGGGGGGGGGGT